ACGAGTAGAGTACGGACGAGAGAGAGAGAGAGAGAGTAGAGAGAGAGAGAGACGAGACGAGAGAGAGAGAGAGAGAGAGAGAGAGAGAGAGAGAGAGAGAGAGAGAGAGAGTCATTCAAGTCCAATAGAATGCATGTGAACAATTATCAATAAAGGAATTGAAGATAATAACCTTTGAAAATGGATCCAAGTGCTCAATGGGTAAATTCTCTCTCCTGCATTCCATCCTTTGAAATACATTGAAAACATGCTTTGCTTTCCGTGGGCTCTCCTCCAATTTTGAAGCAAGCCACACACAACTCGCAGCAACCCTCTGCGAAAACCCCATTAACCAAATCACCAAATAATTCACCCAAAATCCCTGCCAATTAAACAAAATATGAAAAATAAAGCGCCCCCAACTATACATATTTGTCACGAAAGCTTTTTTTATCATGGCACTTTGATAGAACAAGATAATTGCAACTAATTTAACAAAGACTCCCATAGGACATTAAAAACTTCTCAAAAACAGAGCATGAAAGCGAAAAAGATAGAGAGATAAAGGGCAACCTTAACATTGAAGCGACCAAAAGACTTCTTGCAATAGAATCGGTGGAACAAAACCTGGCCTGTGGCCATTACAGCTTGGGGCCTGCAACAATTAATATGAAATGGGTTATACGAAAAAAAAAAAAAGAATTAGTTACCCAAAAAATTATGAGAGAAAATGAGCAAGAGAGAGAGAGAGAGGGAGATACAGTCTGAGGAGGATGCCGCTCTCTTGGATGAGATCACAGCCATAGATGCGGAGGGTGGTCTCTGTCTGTTCGTCAATTCCATCCTTTCTAGAGGGAGAATTTCGAAGCTGCTCTTCAGTGACATAGAAAGTGTCAATAGCCGTGTAAATCATTCTGCATCACCCCAGTAGAGAGAGAAAGAAAGACCTCGACTACTGCAACTCCTCTACAGCCCTAGGCGTGAAGAGAGAGAACGGCCCAAAGTATAACTAATTCCTCTTAAGTGCCCTAAAAAGGAAGACAAAGAAAGACCTCAATGTCAAAAAGAGTGAGACAGAAAAAGAGAACACTCAATAGAACCAGTAAGAGTGAGAGCACTCGATAGAACCAGTGCGAGAAAGAGAGAGCAATTAATAGAACTAGTGAGAGGAAGATCCTAGTTTAGAAGCAGACCCATTTTGAGTTCTTCAGATTTGAGAGGAACCTAAGGCAAGTTTGACAATTTGGAAATGAAGTATCTACAGGAATCAGTGGGAAATTGGGCGCCCTGGAAATTGGTGGAAAAGGAAAAAATGTGCCAGGAAGCAGTAAACTCTTGTTTGGTAACATTTATAGGAAATCCAATGCGAACAATTTACCCTGTTTAGGAACCTGGAAAGCTGTAAAGTGTAAACTCTAGTTTTAACTATTCACTATTTAACTGATTGATTCAAGGCTGCATATTACATTTAAATGTCTTAATTTACTGTAAACCATTCATGTCATTGCTTACAAAAGAGACGATTTAGATCGTAAATTATTTGCCACATTAAATCTCTCTCCCTCTCTCTTTTCAACATAAACTAAGGAAACGCTTCTTAAAGATGTAAACAACACTTTGATCACATGATGAATTGAACCACATGTGCATCACATAAAGAGATGATAAACAGTTACATCACATAACAATACGAAGCGCATTTCTATCACATGAATAAATGTATCACATGCATCCCATACAATACAGCATTTAATTGGTAATTTTGAAATGAATCAATATATTTTCCCATGATCTCAGCATTCAATTGATTGCTTAGACATGTTCTTCTAAACGTGTAGTTAATCAATGTCAGTAGTTAATCAATGTCAGTATGCACAAACAAATATACAGTAGCTGACTCAATCCAAATAATACAGCAACTGGAAATAGCACAACCCATCTTCTGAAAACAAATGAAAGCATTCACAAGAAGCTTGGTCAATGGAGGTCTTAATCAATTTAACCATACATAAACATATACCGGCATTGACTCCAGCAAATAAACAAATATATGGTAGCTGACTAAATAATACAGCAAAAACTAAAAAATAAAGCACAACCATCCTCTAAAAATAATTGAAAGCATCGACAAGAAGCTTATGCAAAAAACAAAATGATGGCTTCTTAATTAATTTTGGAAATCAGGATAGAAATGCCCACAAGAAGCTCAGTGAATAGAATCAGCAAACCATACTTTCATTTCATTTTACTCATCTGTGTTTTATTTCATAGTCCATTTGTTCTCAAGTTTCACTTGCTGGTATATGCCATCCAGAGCCTAGGCGAGTAAAGCCATCGCTATAAGTGCTTCCATGTTTTGCATAAACCTTCCAAATTTCAAACTTATATCTATTAATTTGAGTTGGGTTTTGAAGATGAAGTCAGAGCCATTATAAATACCAACCTGATAATTTAGTTGTCGGAAAAGTTAGTTGTCGGAAAATTTTGGTTTTCAAGTGACCTCAATGGGGTTACAGAAAGAGGATGAAATTCAGGAAGCAACGCAAAACAGTTAGAAGAGAGAAATAACATAGGGCAAGAACAGAGAGCCGACATATCTAGAACACTGAGCACGTTTGATACACCGAAAGTGGCATAAAAATTCAGAGGAAATTAATAAAACAAATCTTGAGAATAAAAAGTTAGCAGAAAAGTTCAGATTTCTACCATCATGAAAAGCATGAATCAAATTTTAGAGAGATCAATGCGATAATACAATGAATGAGAGCTTGATCAGGAGGAGGGCGCACCTGGTTTCTGGAGATGGAGAGAATTTGGAAGAATGCTTCCTGGGCTTGTGCGTGCAGAGAGAGAAGCTAGGGTTTCGGGGATGAAGAAAGAGTAAGAGAGAGTTTCAGGGGGTCTAGGGTTTGGGGGGGAGTGGAATGAGGGCACGGGCACGAACACGGGCACGGGAAAAGGGTCGAAGAGAGAGATTGAGTGTCCTGCGAGAGAGAGAGAGAGAGAGAGCGAGAGATGGATCAATCCTTTCCCGCTGTTAGGCGGTTTTTTTTTCCATTGACAAATACGGGTAAAAAGTACGGAAAATGGTACAATAACCCTATTTATTTTTTTTGGGACGAGGTGGTCACCAATAATCTTGATCATTCGATATAAAATTGGATGGTAATATTTAATTTAGGGGAAGGTTTCAATGTTTTTCTTAGAGTATAGAAGTTCTATCTTCCCCCTACCATCCAGCTGTTCAATTTTGATCAAGAAAGTCACTCACCATTTGATCTTAAATCTAACGTCTTAAAGTATTTTATTTTTAGTTTTTTTTTATACAAATTGTATGAATATGAAATTTGATATATGTCATCTTCTTATTGGACGCACCTATAAAAAATATTAAAAATAATTTTTCGATAAAATATAATGACCAAAATACTCTTTGAAACCTTCAGGGGTATTTTGATCATTTTATTTTATTGAAAATATTTTTTTTTATATTTTTTTGCTAGTGCGAGTCAAATAGAGGAATGAACGTCCAAATTTTGGTGTCAAAATAGTTTATAGACAAAAATTAAAGATAAAATAGTGTAGAGACGTGACATTGTGATTAGGGCAATCTTAGCCCTCCATTAAGAATGGACGGTTGGATAAGGGGGACGAAAGAACTTTTATGCTGCAGGGGAAGCATAGAAAGAGTGCCCGTTAATCGATTGATTAAATTCAAAGTTCAAATAAAAAACTTTCAAACTTTCTTATCCATACAAACAATAAGATTCACATTGGATGGCAATAAATAATTGTGACTTTCTTGTACTAAAAGCAAATAGTATTGATGTGTACATATTTTTTAAATTAGAAGCTTAAAAAAAAAGCTCTTATTTGAATCAAAATTTTGACCATCCCCCGAAGGTCATCAATAGTCGACCATAACATCCATGTCCAAACATTTCTTTCGATCCAAATTTTATATTGGCATGGTTTGTATAATAGTCGACCACAACATCCATGTCCAAGCATTTCTTTCGATCAAAATAAGGTGCACCTCTAGATTTTGTTAACAAATAAAAGGTTATAACCATTCATCTAGCGATGGATACAAATGATGGTCCCTCAAAAAAAAAAATTCATTAGTTTAAATACCCTCTCACTTGCGGAATTATAGAATATCTCTTTTGAGATCAAACAATTCCATCGAATTGAATATGATTGTGTGTAATTGCATCTATTATACTAGGAGTATTAATGAACCCAATTATTGCAATTGCTCGTGATATCTTTCTCTTTGAATGATACCTCAATTCTAGTTATTGTTTCATTAGATATCTTATAACTAGAATCCCTCTTTTTTCTGATCCAATTCCTTCGCCACCACGAATCCCAATTAGATTCAGGCATAATATATTTTTTAATTTCTAAATTTCATAACACAGGGTGAAAATAACTTCATAGGTTACTCTAAATATTTTAAATACTATAATTGCATCTATTGACAAGGTTGGGAGGTGCACCTTATTTCTCGATACTCATACAGATCTTACATATTTAAAGCCAAAATATATTCCCCTCCTGTGGGGGTATGTATTTTACTCCCTCAAATGAAACCCCATCTTGGTTTAATTATGGGACCCCAATTTTGGGGACGTAACCTCTTCAACATTCATATTAACTTTAAGAGAAAAGTTACCCAATTGCTATGCTCTTGCAAAAAATAACGTCTTAAGAAATACTGGAATTTGTTTAAGTTTTTGAGGGTGAGATCTAAATGTCAAGAAACTCAAAATTTGTTGTTTTTTGTTGTGAGAGTAACAATCTAATGATTCTCAAGAGCCTCCCAAAATTGTAGATTGAATATCGGCCTAAGTCGGTATTCTGATCGAGGAAGTGCACTATGTTGCTGTTGGAGCATAATATACATGTTTTTGTTTAAATGGAATTGTATATTATAATACCATTCACTATTGGTATAAAAGAGCATGCAATCAACCTTAGCCATCGAATGTGAAATTCGGTGGCTTAAAGTATGTTTTATACTTTGGAAACTTATGTTTTAGACTTTGTGCCTGATACGTAATTTTACATCTAAATGGGCGACAATGACCATGACTTGTTTAAAAAAGAAATAAATAATATTATTGTATGCATTTCCTTTTTAAAATATACTTCAAAACCTTGAAAATAAATGGTCCGGATAAATTATAGCAAGATGTGCTATTTTCAGGATTTCATATTCACAACTTGAGGTCGAGATGATAAATTAGAGGGTTCTCTAATGTCATAAACACTCTCTTCAAAAAGTTTTTGAGATATACATTACACCAATAACAATCTTATATAAACTTTTTATTATGTTAAATTTTGATATCTTGGGTCGATAATCTCGGATAATGGAAAGATTGATGAAGACGTTGCACATGATATTAGAATTGGGTGGGTCAAGTAAGAGATGCACATCCAAAGTTTTGTGTGATAATTGCAATACCAATGCAAGACAATAAATAATAGAATTTAGATTGAATACAAAGGTGGCTCCAATAAGTGAGAAGATGAAGAAAAGTAAACTTGGGTGGGTTGGTTATGTGCAACATAGACTAATACAACACTCATTGAGAGGGGTAATTTGGTTCGTGATGAAGGCTTTAAAAGAGTAAAGCGAAAGCTCGAAAGGACATGGATAAAAGTTGCGAGAGGAGATATGGTGACTTATGGTTTGATTGAGGGTATATCCCTTAACAGAGCAGAATAATATTGGTGTAGCATACTCCAAATAGTTGGGATAAGACTCAGATGATGATGAAATTTGGGTGAGGTTTGTGTAAGGTGCTACCTTATATTATACTAGTATAATTGCATGAGTTGCACGTAGATATGAAATAAAGTACGACTAAAGTACCCAAATTATGTAATTAATATAGTAGTCTTATATTGTTGTGTTATGATATGTATATTTGTTACTTTTGTATTTTTATTACAAGTTTATTAATTTTTTAAAATTAAAGAATATAAGAAATAAAACCAACATGGATACCATAGGTAACCTATGGATGTTAAAGCTGAAACCGAATAGCATGATAGACTCCAATTGCATATTTGATATCATTTCACAGAATAACAAACAAATGTAACAAATTACTATTTCTAAGAAGAATTTTAGTTTAGCAAGTATCTAGTTCAAACAATGATTTCAATAGAAAAGAGATTGGGTCGTGTTAGAGGCAATCTCTTATAAATAGTAACTCATATCTTGAAAAGATAAGTACCACTAAAACAGCCAAATAACAACGATTTAGAGAGATCGAGAGAGGAGTCTATGAAACTCTTCAATGCATACTTTAGAATCACAAATATCAATCACCAAAACCCAAAACTATATGTCCCTGAACCATCAAGACTGCATGGGTCATGAAAGCAAAAGTTGGTTTATTATTCCATCTTCCCTAGCAAATAAGAGAATTCAAATAGAAGTAAAGTCCTACTATTTTTTTTAAAAAAAAAAACTAACTCAAACTAGATATCTACCAAGCCAAATTCTAACATTCATAATCTTCTTCAATTTGGAAACTACTAACTACTCTTAATTCAAATTGTGAATTTCCGAACATTCCAATGTGTCTCTTTTGTCCAAGGGATCATTCCATTTATGAGAATGAGACTTATAATTTTTAAGGTCATCCAAAGTTCTAAAATACTATTGTTTTTTTTGCATGTGAAAAATAAATAAAATTGGATGCCCCCAAATAGACACTTAATTATCAAACATACCTCTTCTCTTCATACTCTCTCCCTAAAGATCGATATCTCTTTTCCTCTCTATTCTATCTTAAGTTTAGTAACATTATCGCAAATATACTTTAATTTATGCTTAATTGGAAAACCCAAAACATTTGGTCATCTCTTCTACACTTTTTTTCCTCATTTTTAGTTGTTTTTTTACCAAAATAACCTCCACGGTAGTCTTTCTACCGACATGTCATTTTATATGGTGTTTTAAATACCGTACTAACTTCAAGTAATATTACGGCACTTTAAGTGTAGTAAAACTCTAGCTATTACCGTGAAGCTGTGGAAAATTAAAACCCATTATGCTACATTTTAAGTATAGTAAACAATAACCTATGTTATACGACACTTAAAATGTCGTAAACCCTTTTTATCTCTTTCGTCTCTAATTCTTTTTATGTTTATCTCTTATTTCTCCTTCTAATTCTTTTAAATATTTATCTCTTATTTCTCTCTACAATATCATCATCGTTTCTTTAGATAGATCATGTCCTATATCATATCTTATGTTTTGCATAAATGAAGTCAGCGTTTAATTACTCTCTCCGAGGGAATGATGATGAGATCGTAGAGAGAGAAATAAGAGATGAATATTAAAAAGCATTAGAGCGAGAAATAAGAGATGAATATTAAAAAGATTTAGAAAGAGAAATAATAAATAAACATAAAAAGAATTAGAGATGAAAGAGATGTTTATATCTTCTTTATCTCTAATTCTTTTTAATATTTATCTCTTATTTATTTTATCTAATTCTTTTTTGTATCTTATTTCTCTCTACAATCTCATCATTGTTTCATTAGATAGATCATGTCATCTGTTTTGCATAGTTGAAATCAATGTTTGATTACTTTATATAAGGAAACGATGATGAGATTGTACAGAAAGAAAGAAGAGATAAATATTAAAATGATTGAGAGAGAAAAAAAATAGATAAACATAATGAGGAAAGGGTTAATGAGAAAATGATTTACAGTACACGTTGTATAAGGGTTAGTGTAAGTTTATGATAATTAAAGTATCGTATAAAAGGTTATCAGTATTACTGTATTTAAAGAACCGTATAAAATTCCCTCAGTATTACGGTACTTAAAGTCCCGTGTAAAATTCCTTAAGTACCCGTATAAAATTCCCCAAGTATTACGGTACTGTATAAAATTCCTCAAGTATTACGGTACTTAACGTACCGTATAACATGCACTAGATAATACGACAGCCGTGAAGGTTATTTTGGTAAAAAAAAAACAAAAAATGAAGAAAAAGGATGTAGACAAGATAAACAAAAGTTTGGGGTTTTTTTTCCACTTAAGCTTAAATTAAAGTATATTTGCGATAATTTTCCTTAAATCTGTAATCTATATCTTAAAATCCCTACTCTTTTACAATTTGAATTATACATGACGTAGGACATCACATCTCTCTTACGTGAATCTTCTCATCTTCCACTTTCTGTCACCTCCTAAAATCTCTAATCTATATCCTCAATATCCCTATTTTCTTCCATCTATAACTTCCTAAAATCTCTAATCTATATATTCAAAATCCCTACTCTTTCATACTTGAATTACACATGACATAATATAAAAGATTATATCCCTCTATCCATCATGAATCTCTCTAATTTTTTTAGGTCACTTGCCTTAAATCATCTCTGGGGATAAGGTATTTTTTTTTATTCTTTGGACACATGTCGACCTGGTTTAATAAAATAGAATAGATGGATAGATAGATAGATAGATTAGATAAATAGATTCATACATAAGGCATACCTCAAACTTTTATGATGGCTTAAAAATATAAGTTCAAACCTAATTATGAAATTTAATATTTAAAAAATAACAGAGATAGACAATCTTGAAAATATAATTTAAATGACTTCTTATTAAATTTATTAATTTGATAAGTTAAAATACTTTTTTATTTTATTTTTACTCGAAAATATGATAAACCTAAAAGGTTTACTAGCTCCATAATACTTTTTGTGGGTTAGCGATTGCTTCGGGTTTTGTACCAAATTTTATCAAACTTTATCCATTCTATTATTTTTAGCCTCCATTCTATATAAACTTTTGGGAAATTATAAAAAAATCCAAAACTATATTTTTATGCAACTTACCATCGACCTAACTTTTTCTCTTATTTTTTCCCTTAAAATATAATTTCTATGCGAAACTCTTCAACAAAAAAAATAAAAAATGCTTAAACTACACTCTCTTACTTTACCTTACCTACACCTCTCTCCTCTATCCCACCAAAATAGGGCTCCAACTCCGTGTAAGTGCGCTCCAGCAGTAGCGTTGCCGCACTATGTAAAGTTCGGTCAGGTAGTAAGGCTTCAGCAGAGTGTAAATTACGGTCAGGCTGTAGGGCTTCGGCATTGTGTAAAGTGTGTTCTGTCAATTGAAAAAGGAGATCCGAAAGTTGCAAAGGTGGTCTAGCAGTAAGGGTTCGGCACTATGTAAAATGTGGTATGTCAATTGAAAAGGGAGATCCGAAAGTTTGCAAAGGGCAGTCTGGCATTTGTACGCTTTGGTAATGTGATGGTGCGCTACAGCAATGTGCTATTTGGTTCAAAGTCAACATCAAATTTGTCCAAAATGATTTTTGTATACGGTAAAGGTATTTCTATAAAAAGAAAATGCATTTTTTTTTCCTTGGGTTCAAATCTTATCAAAATGATTTTTGTACATGGGAAGAATATTTCTGTCTTAAAAATAATGTACTTTTTTTTTTGGGGCTATTTACATAAAAAGTTTATTTTGGAGAAAAAAATGAGAAAAAAAAAGTTAAATTAGGGTGAGGTTCGTAGAAAGTATGGTGCTTTATTTTTAATTTTTAATTTTTAATTTTTTTATAATTTGAGTAGACCCTCCCGTGCGTAGGACCCAAAGGATCACCATTTCCCTAACTTTTCCCCGTCGTTATTCCAAACCCATCCATCAAGTCTTCTTTAATTACTGGCTCTTTCCAAATTCCCGTAGGCGCTTCTTCTTCGGTCGTCTGTACTCTACCAGTTGTGAGAGAAGGAGAGAGAGAAGGGTGAGAAAGAGGGAATACGCATAAGTTCGTCGCCAATAGGGAATAGAAGGTATTTCTATCTCTGCCATTACATTCATTTCGTAAGAACTGATCAAATCTTGTATCTCTTATTTTCCAAGAATTCGAGATGATGATCAGAGTTCGCAGCAGAGATGGTCTAGAGAGAGTGAGCGTAGACAATCTTAACCCGACAATCTCTAGCCTCAAAACCCTAATAGAGAACCAACTTAGAGTGCCCATAGCCCAACAGACTCTCTCTACAAACCAGAATCTATTGCTCGCTAAAACCCCAGAGCAAGCTCTGCAATTCTCAGATATGGCAGACCCCCAAACGCTAATTTCATCTCTGGGAATCGGCCATGGCTCCATGATCTTCCTCTCTTACGAGGGTGAACGCACAGTGGCTGGACCATCTGTGAAACCTGCTGGTTTGTTTGGCAAGAAGATGACCGTGGAAGACCTAATTGCTCGACAGATGAGGATTTCCAGGCAAGAAAACCCTAATTGCGCATCAGTCTCATTCGATCGAGATGCAGCTAATGCTTTCCAACACTATGTCAATGAATCCTTAGCTTTTGCAGTGAAGAGAGGAGGGTTCATGTATGGGACTGTAACAAGTGATGGTGAGGTCTCTGTAAATTTTATCTATGAGCCTCCTCAACAAGGGACGGAGGATAATTTGCTTCTGTTTAGAGACCCAGATGAAGAGAATCAGGTTGAGGCCATAGCTATGGGTTTAGGAATGAGAAAAGTAGGGTTTATATTTACTCAAACCATTAGCCAGAATAAGAGGGACTATACTTTGTCAAATTTAGAGGTTCTACAGGCTGCTGAACTTCACAGCGAGAGCGATTTGAAAGAGTGGGTCACTGCAGTTGTGAAATTGGAGGTTAATGAAAATGGAGGAGCAGATGTTCACTTTGAAGCCTTTCAGATGAGTGATCAGTGCATTAAGCTTTTCAAGGAAGGTTGGTTTGTGAAGGAGGTTGGCGATCTCGATCCAAAGCTTTCGCTCATGAATAAAGATGTTGTTATATTGGGAAAAGATACCAAAGAAGTAGACAATGATTTCTTTCTGGTTCTTGTCAAGATTCTGGATCACCAGGTATGGATCTATACCGAGTAATTGATGGAAATATCATAATTTTATGAGTTATTCCAGTCATAAAAATTAAATAAATATCATAATTTTCTCACTTTCCTTTTAATTCATCTTTTTTTGCTGGCATACTTAGTTTTGAAGCTTTCCATGTGCTATGAGATTTAGTTTTTACTTACAACTGTAGCTGATCTTATTTGTTTCTTTAACCAAGAAAGACTTGCGTCTTTTCCTGTGGTTATGATTTTCCTGAGACCCTTACATTCCTTCTAGCTTTATTAAGAATTTGGGTTATCTTGCTATCTATATGGTAGTCAGATGACAAGGGGCTCTTATGTGTACCATTTATATGAAGAGTGCAATGGGATTTGAGTGCCTTTGAGGCTTTGGTTAACTCTGTTTATGGCTGGGAGAAAGAAAGAGGGGATGGGAGAAGGAAGGTGTTCGTTTGTGTCATGTGTAATTTGGTGATTCTGTTGTGATGGTAGAGGAATTTTGGGAACCCCATATCTGGAACTTAAAAGTTATATTATAAAAAGACTATAGGCTGCACATTGAATGAAATGAAATGCTTGTCTGGTTAGACTAGTTGATTTCCAGATTATGTGCAAATCTGGCAACACTTGCAAATGGCGGTGGTTTTGAAATGCTAATTTGTACTAGATTTTCTAAATTTTAAAATGCAAATAATGTCTTTCTATGAAAAATGGTATCCAGTTCAATTGGTGGCTTCTTGAAGTGTGAGGTTTCGAATCCTACTCTTGCCCATCTGGCTTTTAGTGCTTGGTTTCATGAAGAATTTAGCCTGTAGCTTCATATCGGATGCAGCATTATAATAATTTCTTGCTCAGTTGGTCACAACTCCTTTATATAAGAAGTTGTTGAGTTCGATTTCTCCCTTCCCCAATTAAAAGTTGTGCAAAAAAAATATTTTGATATTGAAAACACTGCAACCTTAATCACAATTTGGGAAATAAAACTGCCTTGTTCATGCGGAGTAATGTGGTTCGTTATGAAGCCATGTGCAAGATGCCAAACATGGGTGATAGTGATGAGAGGCTATCACGATGTTGGTGCACTGTACTAGGCCAGAACAAGATTTTGATTTGTCTAGGTTGGTCAAGGTGGCTATCCTCGATAACCTAGAATGAGCCAAAGGCCTTTCATCTTGGATAAGGTTTAAGACCTAGTGTTCACAAGGATCTACGTACTGAGTGTTATGTTCTTTGGAAGGGTATGAGGATGGATTGACTTTGAATCTTTGATTGTTCTGGTCCTTAAGATCCCATGAGGTGAAAAGTTGGTTTTAATCTCTTTAGCTAGGTTTATAAAGTTGACGTTTATTATGGCTTCCCTTGTTTGACAGCTTGGCTTTGGATACCTTGATACCCAAGTACATTGGCAAGGCTTTTCATAGTTACATGGCTTAACTTTTAGATTTTCCTCTTGAAAGGGAATTATGTGTTGAAACTTTAGACTTATTTTCATTCTAATAATGGAGTATGGGAAAGTGTTGAATGTTTTCATCTTTACAAATCCAACATCACTCAGAGGTTGGGTCTCCAGACAATAATTATGATGCAAGGGCTGCTGCACATGTATTTGGGTTAATCCCAACCTTCAGACCCAGAGGTTATGTGTTCATCACAGCGCTTGGTTTTGCAGAAACCATACTTATGTTTGGGGGCTGTCCACTGGAAAAAAAATGGCAATGTCACACTTAACTTGATTCATTATCTATCAAAACTCTTGATTATTCATTAACTGTGGTTGTTTAAGAATGTATAGGCCCCATATTCTAAGAAAAGATAATATGGCTATTCAATACCCTAGAAAGTAAGAAAGGAAGGTTAGGGTCAGAGTCTCACCTTTGAGGCGTGAAGAAAGAATTTTTTTTTGGAAATTCTCCCCAAGATATGTGCTTTTGATTCCGCTTCACTAACCTCTTGAAAGATCAAGGGTCTGAAACTGTTAATGGACTCAGCCTCTTGAAAGTTATTAAGTATTTCCTTAGTAATTCCAACCTTGGCATGATTCTCATGTATGAACCAAACTTGCAATCCAAGAGGAAGTTATTGTCAACAATTATAGTTATATGCAAGGGATGTGGTTTCATGGATTTGTCACTATCTACCTATGGATTGGCTGGCAACTCATTACTGTGGAACCTGAGATCAATTTAGAGGGAGCATGGTGATCAATAGCTGTTATTCGTATTTCACTATATCAGGACACGTGGGGAGAAAATCTAGGGTTGTGGTTGTTATATTGATTATGCTGTGCTGACGGCATCTTAGAGGAGGTAGCGGTGAAGACACCTAGTAGATTTCTTGTTATATTGTAACTCCATAGGCATGATTCTGTAGATATGTTTAGAGATTTTACCTACATAAAAATACCAATAACATCGAAGAGGCAAGAGATCAGGGTTTCTTCCATTGCGCCTGCATATAATAAGCTTTCCTGCCTAGGGTAGGATGGGCATATGGATCTAATGGCCTTCTTCTCGTTCGAGGTTGTGCCTATTCGGGAATCATGAACAACAAGAAGCTGCTACTTTTCAGGAACTATTAAAAGATAGAGTAGGTCCTCACTCAAGTTATGGCTCTTAATAGAGCAGAATGGCAAATCGGGATTCCTGTAGTTCCCAATTAGTTAGGAAAAGGCTTTGATGATCATGATGGTGATGATCATGATGGTGATGATCATGATTAAAAGATGGAGTAGGAAAAAGCCTCTTTCTTTTAATTTCTACCATTGTGGCATTGCAGACATTCTAGAGAGTGAGATGGGGGTTTCAAGATGTAAACTTCTCCTTGTCTATGGAGGGTGTTGTTGGAAGGAGAATGAAAGGAAGCTTTAATTTTTATGGGAAATCAAGATGGTAAAGATGGATTTCTTGGCTGACATGCTTCAAGGCTGGGCATAAGGCCTCATTGAACAAACGTAGATGTTCCACTACAAGTTTTGTTTTTGGAATTGGTTGTAACCAAATCGAATAGGGAACATTGCACAGGCTTGTTATTTTCAATTAGTTACCGATCAGATGTGTTGATTGTTATCCATGCACAGAGCTGTAGTGCATGATGAGGCTGACCTCTTGAGCTTTTAAAACAAGAAAACATCAAAGGGGTTGTGGTCCATCATGGCACCAAGGGTTGTAAACCATGGTATGCCTATGCCTGGTGGAATGCTAAGGAGCTGTTTTGATAGTCAAGGAGATTCTTTTTTTTTTTTTTCCTTTTTTGATGATTACTTAAATAGAAGGTTTTGACTCAATGATGAAAACAAGGAGATGTTCTTGACCGGTGATCAAGTTCCTTGCCGAGTTTTTCTTTGCTACTATAACTTTTTATGCAGGAATACCTCTGAGACCATAGATTGCCCTCTACTCATTATCACTTTTGAGAATTGGTTCATGGTTTTCTACAAATATTCAATATTCATCATAATTTTGTTTATATAGTGTTTGGAGGTTATACATATTGGAAGATAGTAAATGAAAGAGGTTTGGGTGTTTTTCAAAAAAGTTTTGGGTCAAGGATATGTTGAGACGACATCTCATTGATGGTCCGAAGTCTCAACTAACCTGCCACATGACATGTATGGAGTGTGCCACTATTTGCTATTAGAATCCTTATAGACGTGATAAAAAGAAATACATCAGCACCTACATAAATCAAAGACCATAAGAAATCATACAAAGGTGCCAGTGAGCAAGGACCTGGCATTTCTTTCCATGCCCATTTACTGATGTTTAGGCAATTTCCCTTTGCAGTGATTGGCTTCTGCAATCTATCGAGGCATAGATTGAGTGTGTAAATCAAGGCTTTTGCTTCTGCATGTACAATATTACAAACTCTGAGGGACCTTGAGTAGGACAATAAGATCGTGCCTCTATCATCTCGTAGGATACCCCGAAGACCTGCAAGCACTGGATTGTGCTTGAACTAACATCAAAGTTCAGCTATACCAAAGTTTGTTGAGCTTCACCCATTGGGGACATGGCATATGGAAATCACACTGTGCATGAACCACCTTGTTTTGGACTGAAAGGAGTGACAAAATGCATAACAAATCCTTATTAAGTATGGGTATATGGTTTTTATTTAGGTCCCACAAGGGGATGGGGAAGGGTTGGTTGCATGGGTTTGTGTGAGGGGGTCTTTTGTGATTGTTTCTAGGTGGTACCTCTTTTAATCAAGGCGCCCATCCATTTGTATGGCATTAGTGACGAGGAGCTGGCTAATAGCTGTCTCTTGCGATGGGTAGTTTCAAACCCTAGTTACTGGGAGCAGGAGCGTCGAATCGATGGCTGCCCAAAGCTCCAGAGCTTAGGGAGCGAGTTCCAATTGGGGTAAAAGCTGCGGATCAAGATCCCATATGAAGAGGGAGTGCGTTCCCAATACAACAGGATCTAGATCCTTACTTAACGGGTACGCAGTACTTGTACAATGGGATCGCGTTCCCATATACAATAGGATCGTGCTCCCATCCACGATAGGAATGAGATCCCATTTGAAGTTGAGTCGCACTCCAATATAGGAATGACCACATTCCTATTTGAAAAGGAAAGGATTGATCCCCATTCAAGGACGGATCGCATTTCGTGCATGATTGTCCGCGCTTTCATCGCTAAACTCCCCTTGTATCAAGAACCCAACTCCATTACACATGGATTCATGCTCCCACTAAGCACAACAGCCCATTCCCATATAAACGCAACCTCGTTTTGGTTTATTCTAGAAACTGTTGTCCTATGTAGCAATGGCCCATGGGGCTAGATCCATGCACAACCAATCCTAGATGTCCATGGATTAATTAAATTCCATTAATCTTGTATGAAATAAATTTTTTCAATGCTTTATACAATTATATTCGTGAAACGGCTAATGCTAGTATTTTTCAAGATCTCATAAATGATACGCATATGGGTGTCACGTTGGCCATTTGTGTACTTGGAAATATATTGCCTGTAAAACAAATTACTAGCGTAATACATTATC